ACACCCCTTATCTGTCCCCAGTCGCCTCTCACTTTCCATCATGTCTCACCCACTCACACACTCCCTCATACTGAATCACTCACGCATATCTCTATCATTTCTCAGGGACAATGCTGAAGCTAACTCAAGTCCCGCCCCCTAAAAGTTGGAACCAAACACTATTAAACTGCCAAATATGACTGCAAACAAGAACAATTATGAGTGTATAAATGCAATAACCTTTGTGCCTTCTCAACATGTCTGTCTAATGATTGCAGATCAATAGAAGTGCTGGTCAGCATCAATAATGGACAATCTTACATCTCCAGTCCCATCACCATCTATGCTACAACATGTGTGAGTATCAACACAGTAACAGGAGCACTTCTCTAGGAGTATAATGTGTGTCTCTGATCTGTGTGTGTGTGTGTGTGTGTGTGTGTGTGTGTGTGTGTGTGTGTGTGTGTGTGTGTGTGTGTGTGTGTGTGTGTGTGTGTGTGTGTGTGTGTGTGTGTGTGTGTGTGTGTGTGTGTGTGTGTGTGTGTGTGTGTGTGTCAGTCAGATGGGACCTGGTTGCTGTGGCTGTTGCTGGCTCTGCTCCTGTTGCTGGCTCTGGTTTTATTCTGGTGGTTCTGGCCTCTCTGCTGCACTGTGGTGAGTTCAAGTCTCAGGGCGTGTATATCTAAATTCAGGAAGTCACAATTCCATGCTTTTGTTATTTATGGAAGTAGCCTAAAAGTTAAAGTGTTGCAATTGGGACCAGGGTTCCTTTGGTAACACTCCTTTATTCTGTCTATAGACCATTTTAAATGTTTTTTCTTTTTTTTAATCGTTCTTTTCAGGTGATCAGAGACCCACCACCTGATCGCCCACCTCCGCCACTGCCTGTCATTGTAAGTAGATCACAGACTTATGATTAGTTTTTGGGAATTCATTCCTTTATTTGACAGTGTAGTAGTTGTGGCACAACTTTACACGCTTCCAAGATACATTAAAAAGGGAAAACAGTCCGAAGAGGTCAAATTCTGACAATTGAAAAATGCACAATGCGTTACGGATTGTCATCATCTACGTTTTTTGTCCGGGGTTCCTTTTTACTACCTGTCCTTATATAAAAATTCTTGATCTTTGGTAGATAACTAAATCACACGAGCAAAATAGACAATAATGCAGAGAGAAAGTGATAATGTCCAGATAAAAGAAGCTGAATAGAACTCATGGTACTGCATCACTTCTGGTGGTTTTGTGTTTGTTGACCCCTTTACGAATGTTAATAATGGTGTTGAATAAGCACCTAACGTGTAGGTAGTTCTGGCTAGAGCTGCAATGATTACCCAAACTAATTGATTAGTCGTTTGACAGAAAAATCCCTTTTTTGTCTAGTAACAGCTTATAAGATGTCCTAATTTTTAATTTGTTATTATATATCTTTAGGTGTTTGGACAGACAAATCATCAATAAAGACTGTACTTTGAGAAACTGGGATGCACATATTTCACAATTTTCTGACATTTTATAGACCACGCTTAATCAAGAGAATAATTGTCAGATTAAACTTTAGAAGCAGCCCTAGACTTGGTCTAAAATCCAGTGTTATGATTAGAAAGTGAACTATTTTGTTGTTTTCAAGGAGCCAGAAGAAGTCATGTCGCCCAAACACCGATGGCCTACAGTAGATGCTTCTTACTATGGGGTCAGAGGCCCTGGAGGAATCACACGCATGGAGGTAAAAAGAAATACACAAACATTTCACATTTATAGTGCCTTTGTACTTTTATATATTTTTCAGTTTTTACCAACATTTATTCAGACAAGTTTCAGCATTTCTCAAGGCATGACAAACACACACATTGGTTATAATAGAAGCTGTGTGTGTTCAATGTCCTTCACTAATCACCGTCTGTGTGCAGGTGCGTTGGGGGCAGATGGGCTCCACAGAGGAAGGGTCCCGTCTAGAGAAAGCTAAAAACGCTGTGGTCACCATGCCAGAGGGAGAGGAGGAGCCCATCATGTCCCGACCCCCACCAAGAGCTCCTCCAGTCCTCATCCCCCCGCCACAGTCCAAATGGTACACTCCCATCAAGGTGAGAAAATAACCAGCACTTATACCAATAACTGTTATGATTAGCATGTTTTATATTCAGTGAATTTACATTATTTGACCCTCAGGGGTGTTTTGATGCGCTGCGGGCATTACTGAGGAGGCAGTACGACAGAGTGGCAATCATGAGGCCGACATCCCAGGATAAGGTAACAAACATCTGTATATATGTTATAGGGCTGTACGATATTGGAAAAAACTGACATTGCGATTTTTTTTCCCCCTGCGATATATATTGCGACATGAAAAAATACAGGAATTGAAGAAAAGACAGTTTTTTTTCTTTCTTGAAATGTATTGCTAAACAATTGGTATTTTTCGAACTACCGTATATTTAACCGGATGAAGGATTTTAGTCACGGACGTCTGGATCTTAAGTTATCAGAGCAACAAGCTGAGCAGCGCCGAACTGCCTTGGAGAAACACATGAAACGACTTTATTCAGTGTTTTTACCTTTAATCACGGGTCCGTTTGCTTTGGAGATTTGATTGTGATTGGTGTAAATGCAGAGCCTGTATGTCACTCACTCAAGTACCCCTGACATGAGAGCCGCGCAAGTTTTCCTTTTGTAGCAAGCAGCAAAATAATTGTAACATGACGTGTTTGAGTTAATTTGCCTACTTAATATCGCACGTCCTAAAACATTTTTTTTAAATCGCACGTCCTGCATGCGCATATCGCGATTATCGTCACGACACGATATATCGTGCAGCCCTAATATGTTCATTTCAATTCATTTCTTATTTTATAGTTATTCATCATTTTTCATTTGTATCTTTAATTTTATCCTTAATTGTATTAATCTGTGTGAATCTGTGCTGTCCTGTTTTTCAATTTTACCCTGTTGCTGCTAAACTACTGAATTTCCCCACAGGGATTAATAAAGGTTTATCTGATCTTATAACAAACAGTGCTGATTAACAATATATAATACTGTTAATATTTCTTCCTGCCCGACTGTCAGCACACACCATAAATAATGCTGTGTATCACCAGTTGATTGGATAAGAAGATGAATCCAACCTCTTGACTGCATAATGATTTAATTAATGATACAGAAAATAATATAGCCCACTCTCCCCACCCTATAATTATCTACCTAACAGGCAAATAACAACTTACATTTTGAATAGCGTTCACTTATAAATAACAGTCTTATTGTCAACATTGTGGCGTCAAAAACAGCTTGACGCCACAACTCGGATTTAGGATTGTTTTCCTCTTACAATATGCACTGTGGGATTTGGATAATGTAGCTTCATAAGTGGGTTTCTCTGATGCAGTTATGATGTTAAAAAGCATTTCTTTCATTTTGTATAAGATGCATTTCACTTGTTTGAAAGGCTGTGCATCTTTTTATTGATACATAGTGTTGGCATTTTGGCGGATAAAGGATAATGACAGCTTTTATTTAGATAATTTTGTTTGTTTTAAATGATCTCTGATTAACAACTGAAATTAGATATTCCACTTCATTAATAAATGTATCTGAGTGTAGTGTGTGTGTGTTCTGTTGTGTTCAGGGCCGCTGCATTAACTTCACCAGAGTTCAGAGTCACTGATGTTCAAAGAAGACCGACACTTTTCACTTTAGTCCAGTTTGACCAAAGACGACCGACAGGTACTAAGAGATGAATGTTTGGATTCATCATGTCTTGTAAATAAATGTCTTTACTATATATAATATTGTATGTTGTTTGATTTTATGAATACCAAACCAAAAGACACATTCTTCAGTTATTCTGTTTATTTGAGGGAAAAATAGAATTCTTTTTTTCACAAAGACCTTCAGTACAAGTACCGGCAACACAAACAATACATAAAAAAGCATACATGAGATAAAAACACTTATAAAATGAGCTTTTTTAATAGAAAAAAAACAACAAAACAAAAGCCTCACGTTCAAACAGGCAGATTTCTGAGGGATTCCATCATCCAGATAAACCACACACACACACACACACACACACACACACACACACACACACACACACACACACACACACACACCAGCTTGAGCGTCAGTCTCAAAACACTTCTTTATCACTCTTGATCTGGTGTTGTATTAACAAAAATAGCTTACCAACACAGAGCCAGCCAACCAGCAACAAGCTCACTAAGAAAGTACATACACTTTGTTTACCTTCTGTACAAAATGTTAAAGTTAATACTGTATAGAAAGACGCCTCAAAATAGGAGTCACCAAATCCTATATTACAATACACAAGAACCCATTGAAGTGCATTTGATTTACCTTGCATGATTAGCACAATATTGCGTCACCAAAGTGCACACGTCACAAAATGTTAAGAACCCAATAGCGGCTGTAAAATGCTTTAAGGAGTACGTAGCTGATGTTTACGCTTTTTAAATTAGATCAAAAGGATTCAATGACCCGGAGACTTTTGCTGTGTGTAAGCTGAGAGGAAATAGATTGTGTGGTGTTGCTCACAATGTATACCCATCACTATCAAGCACTCAACAACACAGCAGCACTTCTAAAAGCAGTTGTTAGTCTGTCACTTATAATACAAGTCGATACGGAGTGCATATCTCGCCAGGATGTGCCGCAGAGAAGCAGTGCTAGTGTTGCAATAATATAACCAATCAGGGTCCATATATCCGTCCCATTTAGAGACTGATCAGCCCTTTCAGCTTCCATATTAGAGCCTTCCCACAATAGTTGCCACGATGGAGGTCCACTGGAGATTTCAAAATCCACGCTTCTGCGAATCCAAGTGCCTTGGACAGAGATGATGTCTGTACTCTGAGCTCTTCCAGGTTCAATAACTGCATCATCAAGGTACGCCTGCGCCGGATTCATCATGGAGTGTTACAGTTCATGATTTTTAAATCCTTTATGATGCTCCTTGTGTTTGTTTTCCAGGGGAGTGTAGAGAAAAATAGGTGTTCATAAGATAATACGGAGGAACATGTAGCTTTAAAATACCTCGTTCATTTTCATTGTTCCATTGATTGTCTTTTCTTAGGAGCGGTTCTCCCGATGCGAAAGGGAAGATCTGCAAAACAGAACACAGAATATGTCATGTTATTGATTTAATATAAGCTATTGTTGAGGTGGTTTTGTGATTGAGTGTGTGTACACCCACCTGAGAGACCTCCGACTGTCCTTCTCCATGTTGTTCTCGGGTCCTTCAGTCTCATATGAAGCCAGGTGGAGCTCTGCAGTGAAAAAACAAGATGAGATCTGTTCTCGTGCTTGGTGACTGCACATGATACACACTTTGTTAACTATTTGTTTGTTTACTGACCGTCCTCGGTGTAGACGGGCGTCGTGACGAGGTACTGGAGGATGCGGCGGTCTCTGTCGAACGGACAGATCACCTGACGCCAAACCAGGAACTCGCTCACCTGCTTTGCAAGCTCCCAAAGTTTCTGTTGAGACATGAAGGACTTTATTAACACCGACACCCAATTGAACGTAATGCACCTGTTACAAATTCCAAGAAAAACGAGGAAAATGATGATCGTAAATTACCCAAAAATGTCATTAAAACAGTTGTTTCTTAACTGCATTTTAAAATGAACTCTGGTTTTAGCCACAAGGGGGCGCCATTATACCACCTCTTGTTATAACATTGCAGTCACTGTATGTTAATATTAAAACAGATCAGAATCAGAAACAGGTTTATTATCAGGTAGGTTAACATATACGAGGAATTTGACTTGATGTTGTGGTGCATACATAAAAATAAAACAAAAATGTAAAACGCAGATAGAAAACTATTTGAAGAAAACTATAATAACATTAAAAAAATATAGCGCATTGGATATGATTGAAATCATAGAACAGTAAAGGCAGCCAGATTTCCTCAAATACCTTCATATACAAAATGATAGACTGACCTCAAAGTTGATGTGCCCGTTGGTCAGCCGGCTGGCACACCCTTCGTTCAGGAAGTAGATGTCTTTAATAAGGAGACTGAAGAAGGGAATAACAATCTGAAAAAAATAGTTGACAGCAAGTTTATATAGATATTTTCACATTTGGGACATTAGTTGATATAGTTCTATCCTGCGTGCTCTCTCACCTTCTCCTGGCTGCTGTGGGCGGTCTCAGACCTCTGGGTGGCGCCACGGAGCGCAGTGCGGTAGTTACTGAAGTTACTGGAGGGATCCATCTGGTGCTGCGTGAGGTCAGACAAAGAGGAAATTGGTCAAACAAATCCATTCAACTTCATACAAAGAGTTGGCAATCCTACCCTGATGTTTGCAGATATTCTTTTTTTCTTACCTCAAGGATTTCGAACTTGTCGGTGTTGACTTTACCCCAGGTTTTCCTCAGTCTGGCAACAGGACTCATGTTCATCCCAGCTGTAAGTAAGAGTATACAGTGTTTATTTACAGAGACAGACCAATGAAAATGAGCAAACACGACTGCCTCCCTGAACTCACGTTGTACTTCCTTTACTTCTCAGCCTCCAGCTGGCACTATATTTGATGACTTTATTGAATTTGTAGTTGGCTGTTTTGACAAAAAAGGGGTTGGAACTACCATTTTACTGTAGCTTGCTCTTCTTCAAAAACAAGCTGTCACAAAGTAGTTTGTGAAATGAAGAATAATGCTGCTTACTGATTTAAGTAGAAGCCATTTACATGTCGTTCATAAATATCTAGCGATTTACCACCTAGTGTATTAATCGATTGTTCAAAAAGAATCGCCACTATTTTGATAATGTATTAATCGTAGTATTCATGAAAAAATATGTAAATTCCCTCTCTTTCAGTTCAATATCATCTTTGGGTTATTGCATAAATAATAAGACATTTAAAGACATCCCCTTGGACATTTTAGACAAATTAAAAGATTCTATAGAAGTTTAAAGGTGGGGTGTGTAGTTTTGGAGAAACCAGCTCGGGTTTGCTAGAATTTGAAAATACACAGCCGGAAAAAACGTTCTTACAGAGCCCCTCCTCCAACACACACGAACGCGCACATGACCAATGAGGGCACGAGATAAGTTTGTGCACAGATGAAAGGCTGACAGGCAGGTAGGCCATCCAGTTATTTTAGCCAGGCCGGCTCAGATGATTGGTCGTGCTTTTTACAGTACTACGGCTTCCAGAGATGACGTTTTTTTATGGATTTTTTGTCAAAGCACTTACAGTAAGATATTCATTGCTATCGGGATGTTAAGAGCATTCCATGGAATATAACAACAAGTGTATCTCGAGCCGGTTCCTCAAACTTACCTACCCCACCTTTAATTGATTATTACAGAAGATAATTGTCCAATATTCAGAAATGAAGATAACGGTTAGTTGAGGCCTGTAGCATTATGTACTCTATGTAAGATGCTGAAGAGGTTGAAGCAATGCGGCATTTCCCCAAAATCAATTTAAAGTTGTGTGTAAGGAGGGGGGGTGTATATATGTTGGCTGCTTTTTAATTATTTGTTTGTGAAAAGTGAGCTTCTGTATGTTTTCTGTACTCACTGATGATGGCCATGAGGGAGTTGAAGTTGCCGATGTTGAAACACTCCTGAGCCACATCAATGAAGAACTCTATGATCCGAGCTCTGTGTTTCTTCTTCACTGGCTGTAATTACAGAGAACACAGGAGGGAAAGTGAATCAAAGATGCATGAACTGAAGACTGGAGCTGCGTGTTTCATGAAAAGTGGAACGTGCCAATAAACAACAAACGCTTGAGTGTGTGGAAAACAGGATGAGACCAAGAGATGTCTGATCTGCTCCTTTGAGAACAACGTACCATGCAGATCTCAGTGGCCACCAGGTAGCTCAGTCTGTTGAACCAGTTGATGTAGGCCTCCAGGTTACTGGTTTTACGCTTCCGGAAGAAACCCTGTGAACAAAAAGGGAGATGGCATGGTTAAAATCAAGCAAGAAAAATATATTTTCAGTCGTTTTATCTAAGGTTTTTATCAGTTTTTCATACTATTAAAAATAAAAATGGGTATCAGGAGACGAATGCAACACTTTGAAATGACCTTATATTGTATTTGAATACCTTAATCTGGGTAATAAATGGGAAAAACACAGTAAAAAGGTACATTTACAAGCCTTTGCTGGAGCTTTCAAATGCAATAAATCAAAGTTTTCCTCAGTAGAATGAGTTTAAGAGTATTAATACACAACATATGTAAAAACTGAGCTAAGTGCATCCACCTTGGAAGACAGGAAGTAGACTTTAAGCTAAGACTTAGTTTATACTCTTTTAGTTGGGATTCGCCATTTAGTTTTTGGGCATTTTGGGCCCACTATAATTACCAGAACTTATATATAACACAACCTGACAAGACAAATTCTGATTATAATATTCCGCCTCGTATTCTTGTATGCAATAATAATTTTAGAGAGCAGGCTGCTGCTGCTGTGTTATTTCCTTAGCAAATGGATCCTGACAGCCCTTCCACCCACACAACCTGTGGTCCTGCACAGTCTGTGACGTGCCTGCTATTATTTTCATCTAATTTCCATCTGCTTTTGGGCCTTTTTGCTTCTCTGAGAGACATCCGGTGGATAGCCTGTTTGCCAGGGGCACTTTTTGATATAAATAAACATTAGAAAAGGCTGTATTATTAAACTCAACTTGACCGTGATGATGTAATCCCGCGCATTCATGCCTCTATTAAATTCTTATACAACAACCGGCAGCCCACTCCACTCCAAACTTCCCCTTTATACTTCAGGACCCCTAACGCTGACTCAACCGCTCTGTAATACAAAGTGGGTCTTATGTAACCGGTGGGCAGCGAGATGTAGCTCAGTTGACAAACAGCGGCTGAAAGCTTGTTCTCTGCCGCGCAGATTGAAAGCGACCCTTCAGCTGACTCACAGGACAGAGAGCCCTTCAGGGACACTTAGACGTACACAGAATGGCTCTTTCCGACTGTGTTTGATGCATGTTCAAAAGCTATAATGCAGAAAACTAAAATGTAATCCGAAAATCTGCCAGCCGGATCTTTCATGTGGCTTCCAAAGCAAATTCACTTAAACTAAAACAGACCACAAATTACACTCGAAGAGTGAAAATAATACAGGATGACTAAAATGACTACAATCAGTTCTTTGATGTTGACAATTATAAATAAATAAAAACATATTTTTACACATCAAGCCGTTGCTGTTGATTCTATCTACCTGGAAAGAAAGAGTTTAACTTGAATAGTTTTTTGAAGATACCCTTTGAAAAACTATGAGAATGAAGAGAGGTGATTGAAGATGAGAAATTATTGTAAATGTATGTATAAATGTAAAGATGTGAGTAGGAATAACTTGCAGAAATTATTTAAAGGATAATCATTGATTAGCAGTAAGTAAGGGTTGGGAATTAATAAGCATTTGCTTCCTCCTGCTCCCTTTCGGACACATATGATTTATTATTATTATTATTATTATTGCTATTATGAATATTTTTGTTGAATATATAAATATTATTATGAATATTGATAAATACTGTATTCTAACAATACGGTATTCTGTTTTTCACATTTATTATTTTTTTATTTGTTTTTTTAAATCTGTTCGAAATAAAGATGGAAATTAAATTAAATTAAATTAATTTTGTAGTAGAAAAACAGCTTTAAAAAAGGGACCCTATTATGCTAAAAAGCTCTTTATTTTGTTCATACTGCCTGTGCTGCAGCACCTCTTTTCACCCTCTGTCTGAAACCAGAGCCCGGTCTGCTCTGATTGGTTAGCTGGCCGGCTCTGTTGTGATTGGTCAACCGCTTAGAGATGTCCCGCCCCTTATCCTTTCATGAACAATGTGTTGGAGCGCTAAGCAATAGAAGCTCGGCTGTTATATAGTAATGTCACTATGTTACGGAAGTAAACAAAAGACTAAAATGGTGTGGGAGAGAAACTCCCTCTGGAGGGGACTTTGGGATTTTAGACTCTTCAGACCATTTACATGCACAAAACCCCCAAAAAGCATAATAGGGTCTTTTAATAGTGTCACAAATCATTTCAACCAGCCACGTTGAATACAAGCAATCAATCAAATGAGTTCAATCTTAAGTTAGTGTGATGCTTAATGTCTAGTTACAGGGTCATGTACAGTATAGGATAGAGCAACACTTAAAGTCAAACACTTGTACCTTATGGTTGTCCAGAGGATCCTTCATGGCGAATGTCTGGATGAACTCCTCCGGGCCGATAAAACTCAGTCTGTCCTGAAGGCAGAGAACAGGGGAAGAAAAAAAATCAGGACGATATTAATGGTTAGATATAAGAGAAAGATGATCAACAAGGGGATAATAAATGATGATTCGAAAAAATTCAAATGCAATAAACATGGGTTTGAACACGAAATAATGTTATTTGTGCGGAAGGAGAGCTATAACTTAAGAGTTTCTGGAAAAGAAAGCAGGCAATGCCTTAAAAGTGTGCTCCAAAAATGAGTACTGAAAGGATTAACAGCACATGACTAAAAGCAATTTAGCTACACGTAAAATTAAAGTATGGATTAGTGGTCTGTGTGCAGCGCTGCAGCAAAACAGACCACACAAATGGGTTTATGGGAAAACAATAAAAGCAAGAAAGAAATACGAATCGTAAAAGAAAAATTCAATAATTCAACACGGGCAGGAGCCAAAAAGAGAAAAAAGCAATTTAACACTTTAGCATTTTCATTAGGTCTTTACATGTGGGCTTTCACCACCAAAATGAATGAATGCACTTCATTTAGATGATAAGAAAAGGCCCTCCAAACCCCTCTACAGATGGAGACTTATGACATATGATTTCAAATTAAACGGCCCATGTGTCTTCGTACCAGTTCGATGTGTGTGAGCTGCTGTGCGATGATGAAGGGGTCGTCACACACACTCATTACGTCGCAGCGCTGACCCGAGGCCTGTTTGGTTTTCAGGGAGGCGGGTCGCTCCAACGCCACGGCACTGAGCGCAGCCACGGCCTCCTCGTACTGTCCGAGGGCCGAGAGGCGCTTGATCAGCCGCTGGGTCATCTGCTGCATGGCCCGCCACGAGTACTGAAGGCACGACACAAACAAAGACCGTTAGATATGATACTCAGACAGGACACTTTGAGGAATCAACATGGCATTGCTTTATGAAGTCTGATAACAAGTAGTGTTTTTATGCTATAAGAAAAGCTGTATGGTGACGGCAAAATTAGATTAAAATGCCCCATTTGTGCAAAAAAGGCTGAATTTGATGCGACATTAGAAAAGTTTGGTAAAGATTGGCTTAATTTTTTTAATGAAAACCCGGCTTTTACTTGTAATTACCAGGCGTTCTTTGTTTAAAATCGTTTTTGAATGTGTGTTTTAAGAGTTCAAACTGACCTCATCCCCTCGGGCCACGTGTTGCGTCATGTCCTTGAGGCAGCGCATCATCCTGTCGTCTCTGAAGTCGTACGGGAACGTCTCGGTCCATTCGGTCAGCAGCTGCACCAGCTTTGGCGCCACCTCACGGAAACGGATCTAGAAAAAAATCATCACATGACGTGTTAAAGTGGCAAGAGGCACGTTTTTTAAATTATTATTTTATTTTTTAAATACAATATATTTAGATGTATTTATTACTTTTTCACTACGAGTAGTAGGTTCTGAGGAAAATGTGAACCAATGATGTTGTCTTTAAGATAGTGGCAATAATAACACCACCTGGATAAGTTGCCAATCACTACTTTAAGTAGACGTTATTTAATGATCATTTATAGATATAATCTTAAAACAAAAATCTTTAAATGTCATAAAAGCAGCCCTTGTAGTGTCTTTTAAACACAATACACTGCTAACAGGTGCAACTTGTTGTTGCCAATAAATGTGCTACTCTCTTTAATTTGTATTTATTTGAGCCCTTTCTGTGTGTCTAGAATGTCTTAAATTAATAAGGTGATTATTTTAACCTCAAAAGCAATTACAGAGGTGTGTGTGTGTGTGTGTGTGTGTGTGTGTGTGTGTGTGTGTGTGTGTGTGTGTGTGTGTGTGTGTGTGTGTGTATGTGTGTGTGTGCACGTGTGTGTTATCCGCCCACCTTATCCAGCAGGGCGTCTCCAGACCGCTGCTGCTCCACGCACAGGTGGCAAACCTTCGTCATGAGCTCATAGGGGTGCAGGAAGAGGCGTGAACTCAGCAGGAAGGTGAAAACATACGACCTCTGATGATGGGAAAGAAAGAAAAAAAAACATCTCTTAGGACGAGAGAGTCTTTTTACAAAGGGAGGTTTAAGAGCACTTTACCGTCACTTACATCAGGGTAGTAATCTACCGTGGGAACCAGGTGCTGGATCAACGCCTCAAGTGATGCTGAGACCAAGCTGTTGTCATGGTAACACATCTCCCCGTAGCTGGCGGTGACTCCGTGTCCGAAGCGTCTTCCTTTGGCTGCCACAGAGTTGCTGCGTGAAGATTGTTCGCTGCTACCTCCACTGCTACTGCTAGTGGTGGCGGTCGTGTGGCGGTAAGCGCGTCCGGGACAGGAAGTGCTGTGCTGCCGGGGGCTACGAGGCTGCGGCGAGGTGTACGGGTTCTCCGAAACGGCGCAGCTGCTGTTGTAGCGATGCTCCTTGGTGGTCATGGAGGACACGGAGGAGCTGCGACACGAGCTTTGAGGCTGCGGGATGTCGTAGGGGTTCTCTGCGGAGACGTAGGCACCGTTGTAGACGTTCTCCTTGGAGGGGTTTGGGCCGGTGCCGTTGCGGTACGGGCTGTGAGGCTGAGGATGGTTATTGTTGTTGTTGCCGTAAGCTACGCAAGAGCCAAACTTTCCGGCGTATGGGGTTGTGGGAGGCATGATGACCTGAAGGAGAGACACAAGGAGGTCAATGTGGACCAAATCATGGACATAATATCAGTATAATGTATATCTTTATAAAATTCATCTTCTCAATCAAATGGGGAGATAAAGTAGTTTTATGATCTAATACAGTCATTCCAAATGTATGACAAAAACAAAAGCCACTTCAAATAAGTGGTCTGATCTTTTCCTAACACAGTATGTTATGACTGCATGAAAACAGCAATTAGTATAGAAAGGTCTTCAGATACCAAACAGAATTTTTCCATAGTAGAAAACCAACTAATGATAGATGTTGCTACCCCTCTAGGAAACACTGACCTAATAGACCCAGAAAAATGAAACCAATAGCAACCAAAAAGTAGCCCTATGCATATTTCCTTATAGTACTTTTTATCATAAGACTGTTCCCTGAATGAATTATTCTTTTTCTTTTTCTTTGCTGACGTCTTCTTTTTGCCTTCTACAATAGGTATTTAAACATCACAATACACTGTCATTTGAGTCACACTCCTTCATATGAATCAAAAGTGATGTCGTCTGTAGTTTTCCTACTATGACAGTATGACCCAACCTCCGTGCTCTGGGAATGTGGTTGTAGTTTAAGCTGCATCACTCCGCATGTTATGAAAATATCTGTTTGAGCAACTCGATCACACAAAGCTGAGACTAAGAAGCCTGTCTGTGAAAGTAATTACACTAAATCACATAATGTTACCCCTCCTCTGTTTACTGTTTTGGCTTGTTGAAAGATACCTCCTTGTGTAATCCATTTTTTTTAAGTTTTACATTACAAAACAGATTCTTTCCTCACTGTCTCCTGTTTTATTGTATGTTTTATCACTCTCTTGAAGCTTTTGGCGTCAAGGCGGCAGGAGGGTAAACAAATAGGCCAACAGATGGATGATTTCAAGGCAGCAATGATTTTTTTTTTTGCCTTAATGGTGTAGATAATTGGATTTGAGGAAGGTAAGCTGATCCTAGATCACCAAAAAGGCGTTCTTTAACTCTGGAGCCATCTTTATCCTGCTACTGTCGTCTGTCTAGGAACCGCATGCCAGCGTAAATCGAGCCGCACGCACACACACATGTAACACGCATTGGCGTAACACTGAGCCAGAAAACTAAAACCCTGCAGGAATCCAGCAGACTTTTGTTTGTTCATCTCAGCGCCGACAGAGGAGTGTCTGCCTGAGCCAACATCTTACACACACCCATGTCCACCATGGCGCCTAGCCCCATGTCGGCTTAATCCAAACACACACACACATGTCACACATAAACAAATGATGGCTTGAGTGACACACACACACACACACTCCTGAATACTACAGGGCCTGGCGTCATGCCACTGTAAGCCAGTCCACTGCCAGCCTGCCTTCTGAACTCTGTGATCTCTGCCTTCTGTTTCCCTTCTAACTCTGTTAAAAGATTACAGTGGCTTTACCGTCCTAATGTTCCAATAAAGTAGAATCTGGAAAAGCTCTGGTGGTCAAGCTGATAAGGAGTCACATTAACTCACGCCATTCCTCATTTCAAGCTTCTGTTTGCACTGAAAGGTGACCTCACACAAATGGGAAAACTCAAACCAATTTTTAACCAATCCTGGGTTTTTCCAGACTGACTTCCTGAAAAGTTGACCCTTGGGTTAGCTTGCGGCTTCGGTGCTGCCGCGCAGAAATGTTACTCTCTTTAAATCATAGGTTGGACTCTCTGCGGACGCCTTAATGATGGTGTTGGGAGCATAATTTCATATTGAAAGCATTGTTCAAATGTTCTTGTTTGTAAACTTTGAAGAATAGTAGCCTTGCAGGATTGGTTTAAAGTGGGAATCAAAATACAGGAAATGGCAGAAATGTATAGTTCTTCCAAAACGCTGTACCTACATAACCACGATCTAAAAACATTGCCGGCTTTCTAGTGTATGCTCATTTAAACTGCCATCTGTTTTCGTAATGTGACACGACAGACAGTGTCTCCTGCCTTGACAAATGGCACCAATTTAGAGTCTGGAGCCTGAAATGTCATAACCTGGTTCATCAGAAGGTTAAAGCTAATATAATTTTGATGCAGCTGCAGGCAAATATCAACTGCTAATGGATTTAAACCAGGGAAATCTGTCAAAGCTGTTCATAGAGACATCATTTTGGGAGGTTTAATGAATGTGACAGTTATATCCTACTGTATGTTAAGGCTGCCTTTGTCTGTTGTTTTTCAGTTTGTTATTTGCACAGGAATTAATTGATTTGAGGGAAGTGCATTTGTTTTGCAGCTGGGCTAACTTCCCTCTTGGATCCCAGCAGATTCAGAAGCACCACTTGGCTCAAGACTAACTTCACTCCAAATGGTTCCAAAGAACAACCAAATTCTTTCAATCTTACTCAAGCTTTTTTTTTCTCAAAATCACACATAATGTGGTTATACGAAAAAGAAGGTACACCCAGCAGCAATACTGATGCCAGTTATAACAGGGGGGGGGGGAGAACGAGCCAAGGGGGGGAGGTCTTCAACAATAGAGGTATTATCTATCCTGTCATGGCATTAACAACCGCACAAAGACCCCCAGGAAGAGATCAGAGCAGATGAGACACACACACAGCAGCTTTCACACACTCTGCCTTCCACCGTCGGGCTGTATGACGCCCAGGCTCGGATCATTTTCACATCAGTCAGACCAGCATAAAGCATTCTCATTCTTCCGTAAGGTGTGAACTCTTGTTTTTGTTCGTTCTCCCTGGCAGACATCATCTGCTGAAAGATCATGTGCCAATAAATGCATGCCTTGTTTGCCAAGTACAATAAAGTTACAGGAATTGATCTCTGTATAGCAGCCCATCGAAACCCGCGTATTGACGTAAGCGATTATTACTGCACGTGGTCAAGCTGCTCTCATAAAGTGAAAAGGAAATACAGGGACGGATGCTAGTATTGGCTAACATGGCCCAAGTGCCACCAAGCCTTTAAATGTGGTGACAAAAGCACTTTTCTGTAGCCCAAATATACAACTGCATTAAAACGGGCGCTTCATTTTGCATTCAATCCCCAATTTCTCTTCTCATTTTGGGTTTTTCGATTATGTTTGTTGTCTCTGTTAGGATTACACCAGCAGTTTGAGTAGTCTTAGTAAACCATACCTCAATAGCCCCGCCATACAGGTAGCCAGCCAGCAACGAGTACTGTAAAAGTTTTCGTAGAATCTTGAACTAAAAGTCTTAAATCATTCGGTAAGGTTAGAGAACTGTATCGTGGTGTTGGCAAAGAATAACAGTATGGGGATTTATGCATTTATTTAATCTTAATTTAGACAGGAAATCTCATTGAGAGAAGCAGTGCGTGTCCAATGGAGGGAGGGCACCTAGAGGTGATATTTGGTGGGCACCTAGAGGGGATATTCGGTGGGAACCTAGAGGGGATATTTGGTGGCCACTACATTTCATTTAGAGTTGATAGCGAACTGTGGAATACAGACACAGTACAAAAACCAAGCATAACCAAGCATCATAATGGGCAAGCACTCTGAAGCTAACCGAGTCAGTCTAAAATGTCCTTATTCAAAGGCAACTGACTCTACGTGCTCACTGACCTAATAATAGTCAGTGCTGAAACCCCCTGAAGCTTAACTAACATGAGCTGAAAGGGAAGACTTGTTTGAAAAGACTTTTTGTGTCGTCTAATCAAATTGGAGGCCTTTGAGCACGGCTAAGAGCTCGAAAACACACTAACAAAAAGTTCAGCATGCACGTAGGTTAACACAAGGTGCACCCATGGCGTGAGAGAGAAGCACCTGATAATGGGAGCTGTAAAACAATTTATCAGTGTGGCAAAAGGCCAAAGCAATGCAACGCTATCTTTGTTCTACTTCGTACCTTATGCACTTTGACACTAATAAGTTACAGCAGGTGAGGCGTGTGTGAGCAAGACAAGCATGTCGTCTTGGGGGAAACCCTTCGCAGTCAGCCTTATTCCTTACAATAAATGAGGTTAAAGTCCTAGAGTAGACTCTGCTCGTATCACTTACTCGTGGTTTTGCCAAAACAGCACACTAAGCAAGTTTTACACGTACAACCCTTTAAACAGCCTTACCATAGACAAGCACCACTTTACACTGATTCTGCTGTTTAAAGAACATTTGCTAGTGTGTATTAGCATCATCGTTGGTAAATGTGGTACAGAATTTGAGCAAGCAGCCATAATCTTTTTTATATTTTATGATGTTGAATATCTACGACGGAAATTGTGATATACTTTACTTTTGTAAGTACCATGAGCTTGTCAGCTTCCAAAGCATGATAATCTGCGGTTTGATTCTATATACCCGTAATCCTTTGTGTTTTGGGGTTGTTTTCCTTTACTTTGCATGACCTTAGGATTCAATGTAAACAATTTATACCTCAGTATTCATGTTTGAGGTCTGAGAATCACAATTTCAAGCAACCACCAGACTTTGAGCATCAACATCACCAGACCAAACGCAGCAGAGCTAAAAAAACAGAACTCCACCCATGCTTGAGTAATCATACGGGTGAGCTAGGTCCTGCCTTGGCTGTCAAAATGCCAGACGATTAGGCCCACTGTAAAAACCTGCAGCTGAACTAAACCTGATATCAGGTGGACTTTAATTGTAAGCAGAATACCATTCACCCACTGCTGATCCTGTTTTTATCTTTAATTCCCACACACATGGGATTCAAGTACGCATTTCCTCAGGGTTAGAAGTCACACACACACACACACACACACACACACACACACACACACACACACACACACACACACACACACACACACACACACACACACCTGTCCCTCGTATGATCTGGTAGGCTAGTACAGTATTAACCTACTGTTAGTAAGGATAAAGACCCATTATCTCCTTTGTTGCTGCTGGGATATAATAACACTAAGCTTGTGTAAGGGGGTTTTCTCTCTCTGACGCACACATTTTCTATTGTCTAAAACCCTTAGATCTCACACATCCACAACCCAACAGAACACACTTTTAACAATACGATTAAAGTTAGAAAAAGTCACTTTAAGTGGATAAAGAAGCTGATTTTAGATCGGTTGTAGCCCATAAAGTTGCTTCTGTTCCTTATACCTGCTTTTGCGGTTATCATTCAATAAAATAAACCTTTTAAAATTAGGTTTATCCAATAAGTAAGCTTGCAAAGTAGGGGAACCTTGTGGCATTCATTTCAGCAAGTTAAGGGACCATTGGTATATATAGAAGTGTGTGCGGAGGGAATAAGACTGTTATAGGTTGGTTTGGCAACAAGCACACACGTTTTGTGTCTTCTTTATTTTCCCTACAGACAAATACACAATCTGTTAGTATCTCTCTCTCACAAACACACACACACACCCCCACAAGACAACCATGCCTGGCTTACATTATGGGTTTCTGACTGAGTCATAACACAGTAAAAGTAAAAGCTGACTGTGAAAAAGCCATGCTGTGTAACCACATTCCCATCACAGGTTCTGCCTGGTGAGCAACGTTTGTGCGTATGACAGCAAGCCCAATTATAACTCACATGGGTGGTAAACAATAACAACAACAACTGAAGTAAACCAAAAAAAAAAGAACTGAGAGGGTATGCTGGTATTTAATACCAAGACTAAACCAAAGCATTTAAGTTGTGTTTGTTTACTAAAAAGTTGCATTTTAGTAAAGATGCTTGTTAAAGCAACGAGATAAAGCATTACTAAACATTATTTAAGGGATGATGATCTTAGTGATGGGAAATGCATGATTGCAATTAAATACAACGTTGTAATAATAATTTTGTGACTTTAAGCGTCATTTTTTTCTAATCCTAGATCAACCAGAATAATGTTCATAGTTTCTATAATTAACCCCACCATCCGCACCCCCAACAATTTACCTCTTATAAGTTGCAGCTCTCCGAATGCAACCTCTCCCCGGAATAAACAGTTGAAAAAGCGGAGAAAAAGACTGTCCAAAATGTTTGTAATCTCCGCTGTTAGGGATAAGCCTGCACAGTGAGTAACAGACAGATAAGTCTTTCAGCAGTGTGTCTGCACCGTGCTCTCCTCCATTGTCTCTCTGCTCCTGATATTTGAGTCAATTTTGAACCAGCAGCGCCGTATTGAGCCTCAAAGCAAGGCGTATTCAAATGACTTCCATAGAGCCGGGAAAACACACCAATCACTGCTCAGGGGCGGGTGCCTCTAGGGGCGGTGCGAACCAATCGCAGAGGAGGAGACGAAAAATCGAAATCTCCGTGGATTCTGATTGGCTGGCTCTCCGTCCGTCGAGTTCCTTCTTTTCAACCGCAGACAGGGGCCGCGAATGTTTTTTTAGGAGAGCTGAACTATGGAAGGTGTAAGGTTTCCTGAAGAATGTGTGTGGAGCCTTTGTGGTTGTAAGTTGGTCTTAGTTGCTTAAAAATCAAGAGTTTAAAAGACTATAAGCCTTGACTGTTTTTATGTTGTGTTTACAACGTTACATATGGTAAATATTGTCATAAAACACTGTCGAGAGAGTAAGATGCAGGAAAACACACATATTTAGCTAAGCTATTTGTTAATATATTGTTGTAGAATTGTATAAAGAAAGTCTTGAAAGGCATAAATATTGTAGCATTGTTTTGCAAAGATTTTCTCGGCAGCCATATTGATAGTGTCCTAGTGGGAAAAGCACAGGTGTATTTAATCAGAATCAGAAACGGGTTTATTGCCATTTCTGCTAACCATTTGTGTTTTGTGTTTTTTAGCACTGTATGGAAATAAGATAGCAGTAAGTGGATGGTGTCTTCAAACTGGCCCAATAAAGGTAATATACAGTTGTCATTGGACATGACCCATGAAGCAAAATGCATATACAATATATGTATATTATGTTTGTTTATCAGCTCTTTTAGTTTCCAAGAAAAATATCTAACTTTTTCGCTGTTCGAGGTTCATTTTGCTTCCCAGCTAACTTTGTCTGTATGTTTTCTAATTCTGAAATCAGAAATAGATTGCTTTGTAACCTGTTTTGTTGCTGAAAACAGGTGTATGTTACCATAGAAAAGGATATAGTTGACAGCAGTTTGCGGGCTATAGAACAAAAAAACGCTTGTTGTGGTATAAATTAAGAAAACTGCAGAGATATATTTATTTTGTGTTGACTTCTCTCTGACTATAAGGGGCCCTAAAACAAAGTAATTTGGATGATTGTTAATCTAAAATATTTTTGTTTAGTTGTGTGATAATCCAGTTGAACGCAGGATAAATCAAGTGTTGTTGGTATTGTTTGTTTCCCCCAGAAGCTACAACATGCTACATTTAAGTTCACATATCATACCCTGACTCGAACAATTTATACATACACAAACATTCAAACATGTTTGTGTGTAAAGGTAGTGAACACACTCTAAACCTGAGTTTCGTCATACAAACCAGACTGTTGCCCACAGGTTGTTATATCGGATAATAACCCTTCTTGCAATACCTAGTTCTATTGGTAAACCATTTAATTGTACCTTTGAGTAAATCTATAAGCATAGTTTTTGAATCTCAACTATAGTGCCTGTTTACACTATTCAACACAGAGAACAGTGAGGGCAAAGTGGTCATTTACAAGATTGATTGTTTAGTAACCGCATTAATTGCATGTTGCTGCATTTATTTTTTAAGAGTTAAGTAAAACCGTCTCTCTTTTTTGTTGTATTTATCCGATGGAGTTTAGAAAGGATTTAACCAAATGCTGAAATTAATCCACCCATGACACAAAGTTATCCTTAAATTGAAGTGAAAACAAGCATATTATCTCTATTAGGTTTTCTTGTAACAACAGGAATATGTACAGTGAATCCTGTTGTACTTACCGGTATGTACAGTCTTTCAATGTACTCTCTTTTTTTGGGCAGGTTTACTTCATTTTTACTTTGTTAGTATAAAGAAACACCTCATCTCTTTTTATAAATATTTAGAGTGTACTCTAAATATATAAACTGTGCTCCCTCCAACAGTCTAATTTCCTCTAAAATATGGTAATTAAGGTGAGGTGTGTACACACCGTACCCACCCCTTCAACTGCCACTGCACCGCTGCCATCCACCGCAACACAGTCCAGTCCTTTTCATTGCATAATCATCAAATTACATAATCACAGCGTTTGATTTACAGCATGGCCGGGCCCTGATGTTGTGGGCGGCGCTCATTTTTTGATCACTGACGCCTCTTACATTCTGACACATCACCGTTCAGGCAAGAATAGCTGATCTCTGCTTCTTACAGGCTACAGGGTTGTATCATTTCAATAACCCAACTCCTACACCCTGCACCCGAGCGCACAGCTTCCGGCTGCGTAGTATGCCCATGCCCGGTCACACACACACACACACACACACACACACACACACACACACACACACACACACACACACACACACACACACACACACACACACACACACACACACACCACGCAACACACAGCGGCACACGCACGCACACACGCACACACGCACACACACACTGACCACACGCATCTTCTTCCTGTGTGTGACTTGACGTGGTAGGCTCAGTGAGGGCCCTCATGGGAGTTGGTTTTCCCTATCCCCCTGTGTGCCTTCGGCAGTGCTGTTGTGGAAGAGTTCCTGTAGTGATCGAAGATGTCTGTAAATAAGGTTATCCTTAACTGGTAACACCCCAGACCTACCCAAGTATTTGTTATATGGATGTGTTCGCCATAGAGTTACTTCCTGAGTACAGTCCGCTGCAGTGCACAGCCTTATATCGCATCTGCATGTGAAGTTGATTTTATTTACAATTTAGGTGTTTCAAACATGTTGTTCTCTCTCTGTTCATAATGTCAAATGTCCCTTTCTGTTTAAACAGCCTAAAGTGGAACTAGGCAGAAATGAATAATTTATATTCTGAAAAAGCATCTTATGTAACCCTTAAGACCTTTAGAAAAGCATTCATCATTGTGAGGCGAAGTGAAATCACATTTATTTAGGCTTAAAATGGTTTGCAAACAACAAAAGAGAGAATTCACTGTTTGCTAGTTAATATGGCTTTAATGACTTAATTGTCTTTAAACAAGAGAGATGTAGAGGGGCCATACTGCAGGATTTAAACATAGGCAGCATGGTTCCAGAGGCTTTATTGGTCAAATGAGAAGATGGTTTAATTTTAAGTGTACTGCTTCTTTTCTGCCCACATTGTCCAGCTAGAAGGCCAATGGTGAAGAGAAAATGGTCACAAAAAAGTATCTGCGTCCCTGTGTAAAGCACAGCCCTGATGTGCAGGCGTTTAGCATAAAGGTCACTTTGTTTAGAACGTACGTCATTTACAAAAATTGCACCAGAAAACCACTCATCATCTTGCCCACGCGTCTCATAAAGATTATAATGCTGCAGAGGTTTCTGATTTCAAAGTCATTCAATCTTGACCTTGATTTTCCGTTGTCATGCCAGTATACGCTGTAAGGCAAAGGTTTATCATCATGGAAGAAACTGATCAACGTCTTATAGAATATTCACAATTTATCATATATGAGAACTGTGACTCACTTCAGATAAAAGATTATAGAAAATGGCGGGGGGAAATCTGAAAAAGGGAAGTTCTGGTAAATGTTTACCTGAGATCAACTGTAAGCTCGTATGTGAAAGGAGTGATGAACCGAGAGTTACCAACAAACTCCCAGCTAATGAATGAAGTTAGCATGTAGCTCCTGAAGCATTAAGCAGCACTTGGAGAACAAATGAAGAGAAAATTCATAGAAATATTTTACTCGTATCTATATGCTTATCAGGTGAGCAGAAAAAAGATGCTTTAATCAATCTATTTTAAAGGTAGAAACATGTAATTATCGTGTTTTTCATGTTACTAAGTGGCCCAAAAAGTGCAGATTCAACTTAATGTTGGGTTAATGACACGATAATTGGTAAATTCTTAAACTGCGCGTCATATAATATTGTTGAATTTATGTTGTTCAGTTTGCTTCTTGGATCAATACGATTTATTCTTTCTACTTTGAACCCCAGTTGCACCATGTATTCCTTTTTAAATTTGTATTTTTCCCAATACATAAAGGTCACAAAGCTAGCCTGTATCTTAGAGCATTTTACAATGAGAACATTACTTAAAGTTAAACTAAAATGCCCCAAAAAACATGGTTCAAAAGCTTTTCAACCGGCAGCGTGTTTTTGATTTCCAGGAAACTGACACAAAACAAATGATGTCAGACGCCACCAGCAGCAGAAGCAGAAACAGGCGTAGGGGCTGTAGTGAGTGTGGGTGGGATTAAACAGTGACAGCTGGGTGAGATCATTACAGTTTCGGGTAAGAGAGGGATATCAAAGGGGGGAGAATGCGAGAATCGGGGGAGGGGAGGGGGTCGGGGTATAAAGGCGTAGGGGCAGAGGGGTGGGGGCTTTTGTGGTGACATTCTTTACTCTCAGGAATGCATACACTTGTATAGTACAATTTAAAGAGAAGAAGTAATCCAGCTGCATGAAAACACCGACCTGCTCTAAGTCCCTTAACTGTCCTTTTACATTTAAATGCTAACATGCGTGGAGGACGTGAAGATAGACATGCATGAGGACAGTTCAGGTCGAGAGGTTGATATGAGGGATATATCAGGAGGAGGGTAGGGGGGGTTGGGGGAGGAGAGGGAGACGGGTGACTCACAGGCTTCCAGTAAGAGGTCTGACTCGGCTACTGGAAGCCCCCAGACCCTTCTTGGGGACAATAAGTGGCTATTAATCCGTGTTTTGTCATTTTATTTATAGGTGATTAAATATGAAAAAGAAGTGAGAGAATGTGAATGCTACACAGCTGTCACTATCTGTGCTTTTTCTTCAGTTAAGGGTGAAAATGTGCTTGTTAAAATGAGGATATTATGAATAATGCACTCCATTTGAATGACTGTTTAGTTAATATACATCATACTCGTCACAAAGAAGAGAAAGAGAGATCCTCAGGCTTTTTTTTTTAGCCAAATCAACAGGCCTGAGATCAGTTTTAAACATTGACTTCAAAACAAGTGTACAGGAAACAAACGTGTGCATTGAGCTTAATGCAACAATGCACGCTTCCTCGTCACTTAATTTGCTTGCTCATTGT